TAATTTCAAATGTAATACATTTTCCAAATGTAAAAACAAATAGATCAAATAAAATAATCATTAATTTCATCATAAAATTTTTTAACAAATCAATTTTTTTTTTCTAAAAATATCGAATTAATATGATATCTAATCGTTGCATCATTTATTATCACTGTAATAGCTGTTTTATCAGTAAAATAAATCGCTACTATTGATCATGATAACAATCATGATAATAATCATGATCTCCATTCATAATTATTACCAATTACGAATTTCATTTCCAAATTATTGTAAATCATGAATTAATGAAAAAAAAAAAACTAGAAAAAAAGAGATGAAAAACTAGTTTTCAGGAAATTCTCGTCTATAACAAAATGATTTGGATTGAATCTTTTCTAGTAGAAACAAGGCATTAAAATTCAAGGAAAAGGATACGAAAGAGAAGAGAGAATGAATTCACTTACAAAAGTAAGAATATTTTAAAAAAAAAAAAAAGAATGGAAGCAATGTCTCCTCGCCTTTCCTATCTTTATGTCAATCCCGCTTTAAACTATCACCAAAAACCACCCGCAATCTAATATTTGATAATTTATTACATTAATTTATGAATACACAAAATGTGCCCATAAATTAAAGTACCAATAGACATGAAAAGATTATTTAGGCACGTCACCATACACACATGCACACATACGTACGTACATTAATCTTAATGTACGTGCGCTAAAAAAAAAATGTACGTACGCACTTAATGCACGGTACGTACGGCTAAATATGTATGCCATTATTGTTATAATTATACAACTAATTTCATAATTGATCCTATTGTCGGCTAAACTTTTACATATTTAAATAATTAATTAATAATCCTTATTAATTACTATGAACATTTTTTTATAATCTTAATTACGCAATTCATTGTACATTTATCATCGATAACATATTAGTCTGAATTATCATTCGAAAATGCCTGAATTAGCCTCAATTATAATCCGAAAATGAAAAAAAAACAGGTAAATTTTGACAAAAAAGTAACTATTTGTAGCAGTAATACACACATACACACACACACACACACGCATACACACACACACACAC